TATGCAGGACGGGCTGCGCGGTGCAATCCATTCGGTGAAAGTCATGTGGTGTAAGCTGTGCGGTGAAAGCTAGAGGGCGTTTCTTTATGTTCGGCGATGACGGGTGTCATTGGGGGGGGGCGGGGGGGGGTATGACGTAACGCCCCCCCCCGCCGTGTGGCTCCGGCACCGCAACCGCGCCCGCGCGCACGACGCGACGAGCGACAAACGACGACGACGACGACGACGACGACGACGACGACGCGAGCAGCATGTAGGTGGCGATCAGCCCCACTGCGCCTGTGTATACCACAACGCTCGCGTGCACCACAACGCGCGTGTACACCACGGCGCCTGCGTACATCGCAACATCCGTGTGCAACGCAGCGCCTGTGTACACTGCAATGCTCGCGTACACTACAGCGCTGGTGTACATGTGCACACCGCGCCTGTGTACACGCCGCAGCAACCATGTACAACACAGCGTCTGTGTACACCACAATGCTTGCGTGCACCGCGGCGCCTGTGCACGCTACAGCGCCTGTCTACACCACAGCATCCATGTGCAACGCAGCGCTATTGTACACCACAACGCTTGCGTGCATAGGACAGGTAGAAGGAGCCTGTACGTGAGGATCTGCTGCGGAAACGCCACGCCAGAAAAGTGCTGATAATCGAATGCGGAGTTTTTCCCTCTTCCCTTTTCCTCCACTTCCACCTCCTCCTCCTCCTCCTCCTCCTCCTCCTCCTCCTCCTCTTCCTCCTCCTCCTCCTCCTTACCCCCTGTCGTGCGGGTTGGCGCTGCAGCGCACGTGCGCAGGTCAGCGTGCACCGCAGAATGGTCTATTGAATCGGCCCACTTGGTTCTCGGACAGCCAATTTAGCTGGAGCCTCCTGGACGCAGATGAGAAGAGTTACGGTGATGCGGGCGGACTCGGAAGGACTCGTAGATTCCCCTGGCGCCCCCAAGTCCATATGGATTAGTTTCTAATGTTTTCGGTGGAATCCACAAGCGCTCCATTTTGTCAGAACGATGCTTCAAACATTCTACATACAACAGTGGTACTGTGTTGCACACGGTTGCTGTGGTGCACACAAGCGCCGTGGTGTACACAGGCACTGCAATGCACGCAGTGTACACTGCTGTGTTGCCCACGGCGGACGTGGTGCACGAAGGCGCCCACGCAGCGCCTACGGGCGGCCTACGGGCGGGCACCAGGCGAAACCTCGGCACACCCACCCAGCACACGGGGCGCCGACGCGGCGCCCACGGACGGCCATGAACAGGCACTAGGCGAAGCCTCGACACACCCACCCAGCGCACGGGGCGCCCACGAGGCGCTCGCGGGCGGCCACCAATCGGGCACCAGGCGCAATCCCGACAGACCCAGCGCCAAGTACTCAAGAACACAAGCGAGAGTCCCCCAGTGCAAGCACTGCCTGGGCAAGATGCTTCTCTGTAACAAGGCAGGACACCACCAATGTGCACCGACTCGGTCATGGTACCCCACAGCTCCAGGCTGGTGCATGGGGCGTTTCGCCTGAGACCCCTTCACTACATTATTCTTGAGTCGTGCTCTCGCCTGAGCGCTGGCCACATCTCTGCCTCGGAATGGTGCTCTCGGCTCAGCGCCAACCACCTGTCTGTCTAATGGCGGTCTCGTCCCAGCCTTCCTGTCTCGGAATGGTGGCAGCAGAGACACCAGCAGCAGCAGCAGCCGTTGCAGCAGCAGTCGAAACATAATCAGCAGCAGCAGAATCAGCACAAGCAACTCCAGCAATGGCAGCAGCATCAGAAGTCTTAGCAGTAGCCGCAGTATCAGCAATAGCTGCAGCAGTACCAATAGCACTAGCCACCGCACAAGCGCCAGCGGTAGAAATCAGCAGCAGCAGCAGCCGCAGCACCAGCAGCAGCAGCACCACCAGCAGGAGCAGCACCACCATCAGCAGCGTTGGCACCTGTGCCGCTGGGTGCCCTCGTGGCGTCCCAGGAAAACAGGCGGGTTGGCAGCCCGATCGTCACCACAGCTCGACGGGGCTGTGGGAGAGACTCTTGCCCTGTGGTTCGCCAGCCACAGTAGGTGCGGGCCCGCCGTACCACCCCTGAGAGGCCCGATGGGGTTACTCGAAGGGGTCCTCCGACGTGGGGGGCGCGGAAACTTAAGTCCTTGGGCAGCGGGGCCTCCGCTGCTTGAGGCCGGCGGCCAAGTGGGGGTGGTGCCGGTGGCCGTGTCTCGGGGTGGCATCTCGAGGCACCTCGCAACGGCGGCGCGGATAACGCCTGGGGCGGGTCCGTGCCGCTGTTCGTGTTGCGAGGTCCGACTGCATGTGAATTCATGCAGGCACCTTGGGCACCTCCCTTCGGGTTGTGTCGCCCAGGTGTTCTGTCCGGGCAAACCACCATCAGCAGCAGCACCAGCAGTTCAGAGAATGGTCGCAGATATGTACCTCCATTAATGTGCTATCTCGTGTCAAGTTGCTCAATATACTGTGTAGAGCTATCAGCTGAGAGCCATACTTCTTTCAGTTTCGTAGCGGCGCAGGCTTCGAAGGATCCTGAACCTAGACCTCAAAGGGGTATCCCTGGGCTGCAGGCGCGCTGGTCAGAATAAGTGTTCTTGTCTTTGCGCTAAACTGTAATTCCGCATGCTGATCGCAGTATCCCTCCTGTGGGCCGAGTAGTCGCTCTCATTACGCTACATGTGTGATCTGACTCAGGTGCGACAACAGTTCTCACAGCATCGGCGCTGACGTGCTGTGTTTGGTGAATACTTGCGTGTGGGTAACACGTTATACGCTCAATTCCTACGCCGAGTACTTCTTCCCTGGTTCTGCAATGCATGCGGAGTCAGTCGTCGAGCGTGCGCTGGAGAGCACGAGTTAGACCAAGTCTGGGGATGACGGACCTGCTCTTCAAAAACTGCGGTTGCACTAAGGGTCGTCTTACTTTGCTTTCAGAGTAGTCGGCCTGCGGTCACGGGCTTTCGCCTGTAAATCTGGGGGGAGGAGGGGCAGCGAGGCAAAGAGCAAGAGCAGCACAAGGGGGGGAGAGAGGCAGCAGGGAGGAGGAGGAGGAGGAGGAGGAGGAGGAGGAGGAGGAGGAGGAGGAGGTGGAGGAGGAGGAGGGGAGGAGGAGGAGGGGAGGAGGAGGAGGGGGAGGAGGAGGAGGAGGAGGAGGAGGGGGAGGAGGAGGAGGAGGAGGAGGAGGAGGAGGAGGAGGAGGAGGAGGAGGAGGAGGAGGAGGAGGAGAGGGAGGAGGAGGAGAGGAGGAGGAGGAGGAGGAGGGAGGAGGAGGGGGAGGAGGAGGAGGAGGAGGAGGAGGGGGGCCACCAGCAGGAAGAGGAACGGGAACAGGAGCGGGAGCACAAGCAGGAGGAGGGGGTGGACGAGAACAACGAACGAACGACTCTGCAGAAGCGTGTCAGCTGGATCGCGCGGTGGCCGCGGGCGCTGGGCAGACTGTGCCCTGGCAGGCGGCTCCAGATGTTCGCCCAGTTGAAGGGGCCCTGGGACGCACAACTAAAGACACACACACACACACAAACAGCAGGATTCCCCCTATCTTCCCACATCTTCTGGGTTTTCGTCTTCCCCCCCCCCCCACCTCCCATGTTGTCCCATATTTTCCTGGGGGTCGACGACTAATTGTGTCTGTGTGTTTTTTCCCCTCCTGACCAGTACCCGCCCGTAGATTGCACCACGTGGAGTGCACCACATATCTCACTGCGCCGGCCTTACAGGCGTGCTGCAGCGGAATTCTGCGCGGATTTCCGCCAACGTAGAGCCCCGAAGCGGCGAGGGAACGACGAGGTGAACTTCGCGTGGATGTGTTGTTGGTCTTCATCCCTGGCCAAAAAAATCCGCGCGAAATCCACCTCGAAATCCGGAGCGAAATTCTCCAGGACACTCCGGGCCCATCCCATCATCTTCCGAACGAAATCCACTCTGCGATGCTGGTGCCACGACATATAGATTGCACTGCACACCCTGCACCGCATGGGTACTGCATCGTCACCATCGGCTCTGGCTGCAGCCCGGCTCTCGCACAGAACAACACGCGGCCGCGCGCCAAGCCGGCCTTCCAGGTCGCTGGGGCGAGCTCGGGCCGCCGTGCAAGCTCCCGGGTCAGAGGGGTTCAGGAACTGGGCCAGCCTCTCATGTGGCGGCCGGCGGGAGTAGAGATGCTCGACGTCGGCGACGACCGTGTGAGGGGAGGGGGGGGCGCGAGAGCTTGGAGCGCGAGGGTTTGGGGCCCAAGATGGCCCCAGATCTTGCTGAAATCGGCGCGCTCCGCCACAACGCCGACCACGCCATCCCGAGGAACACGGAGGGAGGACGGCCGAAGTCTCTCTGTGGGCGCCCTGGCCGAGAGTGAAAAAGACGGGAGGCTCCCTGACCACCCAATGCCGAAAGCGTAAGACTCATGCCAGCTTTTGTGCTCACCACGAGGGGTGGCCATGAGGCTTGCGAGGGAGAGCAGCGGAAGCTCGCCTCGATTGGCTCGAGGGACTCCAGGATGCAGGTGGTGCTGCCAACCATCTGTGTATGGTTCCAGGATGCGATCTCGATCCTCTCGAACGTATTCGCACTGAGTTCCTGGCCCGCACAGACTCGACTCTCCTCTACTGTTCACAACTTGTACCCCTGTCGCCAATATGGCCCATGACCTCCGCATCCTGGCCACTGACATTGTATATGCACATCAAAGAGAATGCGATTCATGCGGCAAGTGACGACCACGACGGTGCCAGCGACAGGGACGACGATGGCGGAGGTAAAGGCGAAAGCGAAAAAACGACAACGAGAGATGCGTCCTCACCTGGACACGAGGGGGAGGAGGAAGAGTCAGAAGGAGAAGAGAATGAATAAATGAGGAGCAGCAGGAGGATCAGGAGCGGGACGAACAGGCGAAGCATGATCATAATGAAGAGCAACAGTTGGAGGATAAAGAAAAACGGGAGGATCTGGCGGAGCAGAAGGAGCACAAGGAGAAACATGATAAGCACAAGGAAGAGTAGACGTAGCAGTAGGAGTGATTGTTGTGAATGAAAGTGAGATGACGAGTTGGGACGAACGGGAAGGAATAGCAAGGGATGGAGTAAAGTAAGGGAATAATACAAAAGACAATAGCCAAACAAGAGGTATAAGTAGGGGGATACCTGCAACCTGCCCAAACGGATGGACGTGCGGACGTCTGGACCAGGGGAAGGTCGGCCATGACGGAATACTTCAAGCAATGGAGCGTGAATTTGGTTTCCGGCGGGCAGCCAGACAAAAGACTCAAACCAATAAAACCAAAAAGATGCAAAACCTGGCACGCAGCACGAACCTAACAGGTGACTAGAAGTGGTAGAAGAAGCGAGGGCAAGGGCGAAGACAAAGGTGGAGAGGGAAAAAGGATGTGAACATTGGAAGGCGGGGACAGACAGACAGACAGACAGACAGACAGACAGGCAGGCAGGCAGGCACGCAGGCAGTCACGCAGACAGACAGACAGACAGACAGACAGACAGACAGACAGACAGACAGACAGACAGACTGACTGACTGACTGACTGACTGACTGACTGACAGACTCTCTCTCTCTCGGGCTCCCACGTCGCGTGGGCACCCCCCAGCCACGCCTCAAGGGCGCGCCCCAGCCGCGCCTGGGACAGACAGACAAACAGACAGATAGAGAGAGCGAGAGAGGTATATAGAGAAAGATGTGAATTGGAAGAGGAGGGCGTGGAGGGAAGAGGGACGGGGAGGGGCAGGGAGGCAGGTCAAGGAGGGTCCATTGGTGCGGGGGTGCGCTGGCCACCTGCGCAAAACCCCTCGGGCGGGCCACCAGCACTGAGCATCGCCTATCCGACCCCCATCCCCAGCGGCGTGGCCTGGGCCCCACTGGCCGACTTACCCCCCCCTCTAGATGGGGATATAGGCTGTTCCCTTTGGATTTCGAAGGGTGTATCCCCAACTGGGGTGGTAATTTGGTGGGGCTCTCGAAGGGGATGAGCATGGGGATGGGGGTCGGTTAAGCGATACTGAAGCACAGGGTATAAGCCTCGTGACACGGACAGTAGGGCCATCAGTAGCCTGATGAGTGGCACAGCTGGTGGGCCCCCGGTGAACCAACTGCTGGGCCCACTTGCTTTGACCCCCGACGTCATGATTTTTGCCACACCGTCGACCCGCAGAGGTCTGAAGACGTTCCCTGGGACCGGTGTTTCATCCTGGATCGTTCTTGGACGGCACTGGGGCCTGACGCAGGCCCCCAGATAGAAAAAACCGTCCACCGTCACGGCGCAAGGGGGTATGGGTATGGAGCACCTACTGGGCCCCTCAGCGGGCCAACCTGACAACACGCCTTGGTCGGGGACCGCGCCGCTTTTCGGCCACAGGGGGCGTCGGTGACTCGCCGGAGGCGTCTTCGGCAACAAGAGCGGAGGGGCAAGGGTAAGAGCAGGAGGAGCAGCGCACGGCGTGGCGCGGCCGAGGGCATCGATCCCGCCGCGGCCGCGGCGGCGGCTCAGGCGGCCCCCAGCCCCCATGGCTTGCGTCAGTCGAAGGGCTTACCTCGCACCTGATCAACGACTAACTCCCGCTGACACCGCCACCGGCGCTGGTGCTGGCGCCGTGTACGCATGGCTCGGGTACGCCGCTGGCTGGCTGCTGGGGTAGTGGCTGGAATACCCCGAAGATACCGGCTGGCTGGAGTAGTGGCTGGAATACCCCGAAGATACCGGCTGGCTGGAGTACGCTGAGGACACCGGCTGGCTTGCGCTGGTCGCAGCTCCCTCCTCGCCCACGACCACGACGGAGCCGAAGAAGGGGTAGGAAGGGTAGGACAGCTTGATGCCCGCGTCCTGGGGTGACAGAATGATACAGAACTGCTACTGGGCAACCACACGCGAGCCCTACCGCAGCAGGTCAGATGTTTGAAACATCGGCGGGGAGGCATTTGAAGGGTGTCTGCAACTGGGTGAACCCGAGCAGGGGTGTCCGATACCCCAGCGTTGACTAGACCCACAGGGGCAGGGCCCGCACAGGACTCCGAGGCGACAAGGCGGCAGTGCTGACGAAGGCTCCCCAGGAGGCCCAGAAAGGTGCAACCGAGGGAGGGGTATGGGCACCAACAGCCCGAAGCCCGTCCGAAAACCAGACCCCTCCCGAGACCCCGCCCTGGCCAGTCAGCCGTGACGACGAGAGCCTCCCGGCACGCCGGAAAAAGCTTCCGACCCAAGAGCCCCGACGTCGTGACTCCCAACCATCACGTGGTGTTCGGTCCTCGTCTTGACGAGACGGCGCCCCGCGCCCATCCCTCAGTCCACCCTCCCTGCCTCTGCCCTCCGACTGTCCCTGTCGGCAAACCCCTCACACGCTTCGTGGCCCAATAGGGAGATCCACCCAAGGCCCAAACGGCGTGGCCCACGCCATGTCGGCAAACCCGGCACGCGCTCCCTGGCCCCAAGCGGAGCTCCACCTAAGGCCCCGGCGCCAGGGCCCGCACGCCCGGTCCACAAGATGCCGGCGCACCCCTCACACGCTTCGTGGCTCCATGGGAGACTCCATCCAGGGCCCCAGTGGCTGGGCCATTTCGGCGCACCCCTCGCACGCTTCTTGGCCCCATAGGGAGCCACGTTCGCATGCCTTCTCTTCTCCGCACCATTTCGGCGCGCCCCTCCCGCGCTTCGTAGCCCCACAGGGAGCTCCTCCGCAGGCTCAAGTGCCAGGGCCCGCATGCCTTCTTCACATCTTTTCGGCGCACCTCTCGCACGTCCTGTGGCCCCATAGGGAACTCCACCTTAGGCTCCAGTGCGAGGGCCCGCATGCCTTCTTCACAATATTTCGGCGCTCCCCTCACGCGCTTCCTAGCCCCAAAGGGCTCGACCTGAGGCCCCAATGGTTTCGCCCGCAGGCCTTCTCCACACGGTGTCGGCACACCCCTCACACGTTCCGTGGCCCCATAGGGAGCTACACCTAAGGTGCCAGTGCCAGGGCCTTCATGCCTTCTGCACACCATCTCGGCGCACCCCTCACACGTTTCGTGGCCCAATGGTCCTATAGGGAGCTTCACCTAAGGCGCTAGCGCCCGGGCCCGCATGCCTTTTCCATACAATTTCGGAACACCCCTCGCACGTTTCACGTCCCCATAAAGGGGGCTCCACCCCAGGCTCCTGTGCCAGGGCCCGCATGTCTGGTTTATACATTTCAGCGCACCCTTCACACGTGGCATGGCCCCACTGAAAGGTTCCAGTGCCAGGACCCGCATGCCTTCTCCATACCATTTCGGCACAGCACTCATACGTTTCGTGGCCCCACAAGGAGCTCCCTTAAGGCACCTATGCCAGGACTCACATGCCTTCTTCATACAAGTTCAGCACACCCCTTGCACGTTTCGCGGTATCATCGGGGGGGGTCCACCCGAGGGCCCCGTGCTAGGGCCCGCATGCATTCTCCTTACAACTTGGCAACACCACTCAAACGCTTCGCGACCCCATACGGGGGTTTCGCCGAAGATGATCCCCACAATGAATGGACCCACCCATGCATACGATTGGGTCCTTCGCCAGGTTGACTTTCTTCACAACGTCGACCCTCAGAAGTCTAGGCCCCTTCCCCAGGACTGGCGTGTTATCCCGAACCGTTCGTTACCCAAATATGTTTTAGCACAAGGGTTCTAGTCATAAGGATTCATATTTGAAACTCTCCGCCACCCTCGCCATTCGCATGGCGTTGTTGAACTCGCACTCCTGAAGAATAATTAGTGTTGATCGCCCCCCTCCTGTGACCGTTGTCTTTTTCAAGTGAAGTGCTTCCCCCAGGGTTCGCACCTTGTTCTTGTTCGTCAAGGAAACTCACTAAGTTCAAACTGCGCCCCTGGCCCCCGGGTTAAAACAACAACGGCTTCCGCCTGAGATTTCCTCACGAGATTTCCTCACAATTTAGCCAGGACCCCGCCGGAGAATTCCTCGCATTTTACTCGGGAATCGCGCTCTCGCTGGGGACTTCCGTACAATGTATTCAGTAATCGTTTCTTCCGGCGCTCTGGAGTCGCGCTCTCGCTGGAGACCCGCTTGCAACTTACTCGAGAATCGCGCTCTTGCGTTGGAGCTCCCCGCAATTTACCCAAGCGCCGCGCCCCCGACACTCAGGCACCCAGGAATCGCGCTCACGCTTAGGACTCCCTCACAGCTCACTTAAGAATATGGAGATCGCTGCCCTTCGTGGCATCGTTGCAACCCTTCGTGGCCCCCTCGCTGTCCTTCGTGGACCCGTTGCACCCCTTCGCGGCCCCCTCGCTGCCCTTGGTGGCCCCGTTGTAACCTTTCGTGGCCCCCTCGCGGCCCTTCGTAGACCCGTTGCAGCCCTTCGTGGCCAACTCGCTGCCCGTCACGGCCCCGTTGCAGCCCTTCGTGGCCCCATCGCTGCCCTTCGTGGCCCCGTTGCAACCCTTCGTGGCCCCCTCGCTGCCCTTTCGTGGCCCCGTTGCAGTCCTTCGTGGCCCCCTCGCTGCCCTTTCGTGGCCCCGTTGCATGCCCTTCCGTGGCCGCCTCGCTGCCCTTCGTGGTCCCGTTGCAACCCTTCGTGGCCCCCTCGCTGCCCTTCGCGACCCCGTTGCAATCCTCCGCGGCCCCCTCGTTGCCCTTTCGTGGCCCCGTTGCAGCCCTTCGCGGCCCCATCGCTGCCCTTCTGCGGCCCAATATTCGCATGCCTTCCGTGACCCCCGCTCGTTCGCGCCCGCCGCGGCCCCATCTGCATGCCCTTCGCGGCCCCGCCGTCGCCCTTCGCGGCCCCCCTCGCTGTCCTACGAGGCACCCTCGCTGCTCTCAGCGGCCCCGCCCTCGCAGACCCAATATACGCATGCCCTTCGTGGCCCCCGCTTGCACGCGCCTGTCGTGCCCCCACATGCATGCCCTTCGTGGCCCCGCTGTCGCCATTTGTGACCCCCTTCGCTGTCCTACGCGGCCCCGCTGCTATCAATGGCCCCGTCGTTGTCATTCGTGGCCCCGCTGTCGCTCTCGCTCTGGCTCTCGCTTTCGCTCGTCGTCGTCGTCGTCGCGGTCGGTCCCCTGTCCGCCCCTCTTGGGGTCGGGTTGCCGCCAATCAGCGCTGCCGCTGGCCAGGCCGACAGCCCGCGGCCGCCCCGCCGATTGCCCGGGTCTGGCCTGCTGGGAAGAAAGATTTACCCCCAAAAGGGGCACGATCGAAGACGAAGAGGGCGGGCATCGAGTGTTTGGGCAATACAAGTTGGACGACACTCGAGCAGATAAGAGCGAACAGTGTGTAAATGATTGTTGTTGGTGATGTTGCTGATGTTGTAGATGATATTGTTCTCGTTACTGGTGGTGTCGCTGTTATTAGTGATGATGGTGTTGATGGTGCTGTTGTTGCTGCTGTCGTCGTGGTTGTTGTCGTCGGTGTTGTTGTTGGTATTGGCGTTGCTGTGACTTTTGCTGTTGATGGTGCGGATGTTGTTGTTATTGATGTTGGCGGTGTTGTTGGTGATATGACTGATATTGTTGGTGTTGGTGGTGCTGTTGGTGTTGGTAGTATTGATGCTGTTGCTGATGGTGTTGTTGGTGTTGGTGTTGTTGGTGTTGTTGGTGGTGGTAGTACTTTGTGTTGGTGTTGGTATTGTTGTTGGTGGTGTTGTTGTGTTGGTGGTGTTGGTGCTGTTGGTGCCGTTAATGTTAATGTTGTTGTACTCTTATTGTTGTTGCTGTTGGTGTTGGTGTTGATAGTGTTAAAGTGGTTGTTGTTGATGTTGGTGTTGTTGTGGTTGTTGCTGCTGTTGGTGGTGTTGAACACTCACGACTGAAGATCAACAATTCTTGTTACCCCCCCCCCTCCAGTAACATATGTGCTTTAATTGTGCTCCCGCCCGAAATGTCCTGGCGAACTATGCTGGACTCACGCACTCGCGTAACCCACGTGTTTTTTGAAGTGAAGTGCCCCTCCCGGAGCTCGCTGTGCTGTTACTGGGGAAAACCTTCCTGCTCAAACTGTGCCCCTGGCACCCAGTTTACAACAACAACGGCTCCCGCCTGAGATTCCCCTACAATTTATTTCCAAATCGCGCTCTCGCGAAGGACTTCCTCATAATTGAATGCAGGACTCACGGTTTCGCGTGGGATATCCTTCCAGTTTATTCAAACGCAACGCCCTCCCCATTCAGGAATCACGTTCTCGCAATGAATTTCTTCAACATTGATTTGGGAAGCGCACTATCGCTCGAGACCTCCCCGAGACTCATGCAGGACGCACGCTTTAGTAACTCGCCTGCTCGACCTAGCCGTCTAGGCCCGCCTTCCCGACCCGCGCGTTAGGGTCTACCCGCCCAATTTGCCCGTCTGGTCCTGTCACGTGATTTCTGCTCTTAGCCCCCTCCTGCTATTTTCTTTCGTGTTCCATCTTTCTCCCTCCTCCTTGTCCCTTCCTTCCATCCGTCCTCTTTCCCTGCCGCAGGGGCTGCACGAAATACACACGACGCATGTAAGAAAGATACACCCCGAAGGGGGTATGATCGAAGACGAAGAGGGCGGGTATCGAGGGTTTGGGAGATACGTGCTGAGTGGCACGCGGGCAGGGAAGAGCGAACGGTCTTAGATTGATTGTTGTTCGTGGTGCTGGTGTTGTTGTTGGTGGTGGTGCTGTTGGTGTTGGTGCTGTTGATGTTGTTGTTGGTGTTGCGATTGGTGGTGGTGGTAAAGTGCCCCAGGAAGGCCCCGAGAGGCGCCCAGGAGGCTCCAAGACGCTCCCCCGAGGCACCCAAGAGACTCCCAAAAGACCCCCAAGAGTGCCCAAGAGGCTCCCCCGAGGCACCCAACACGGTGTAAGAGGCCGCCGGAACCGCCAAGAGGCCCCAAAGACGCCCCAAGACAAGAGGACCCCAAGAAGATCTCAAGAGACATCCGAAGAGACCCCGAGAGGCATCCAAGAGGCATCTGGCCAGTCTGCTCGCCCTGCTCCTCTTTTTCCTCCCTTCCTCCTCCTCCGCCTCCTCCTCCTCCTCCGCCTCCTCCTCCTCCTCCGCCTGCTCCTCCTCCTCCTCGTCATCCTCATCGACCTCCTTTTCCTCCTCCTCCTCCTCCTCCTCCTCCTCCGCCTCCTCCTCCTCTTCCTCCTGCTCCTCTGATTCCTCCTCCATATTCCCCGTCTTGGGGTACGGCGGCTTCCCCCGCCCTTTATTGCACTGCATGCTCCTTCAGATCCCTGATCAGGGCAGCTCGCCTGGGGATCGCTTCTGGATGGGCTGGTGGGGTCACGCGAAGCACAACATGCGGGCAAATTGCTTCTGTGTATTGGGGGGGGGAGGGGAGGAGGAGGAGGAGGAGGAGGAGGAGGAGGAGGAGGAGGAGGAAGAGGAGGAGGAAGAGGGGGAGGAGGAGGAGGGAGCGGAGGAGGAGGAAGCGGAGGAGGAGGAGGAGGCGGCGGCGGCGGAGTGCGCTTCCCCTTGTGATGGTTTCGCGCTGGGAAGTTTCCTCCTGGGAGGCACCCCGCGTCCAGGGGAGGGTCTGCCGCGCCGGGCACCACGCGCGCGCCGCCCCTGGCCGACCCCAGCCCTGAGCACCGTTCGACCGACCCCCGTCACCCCACAGGCGTGGCCTTGGCTCAACTGGCCGATTTACAGTCGGACTTCAGCGGACAGGACACGCGAAAGGACACGAGGCCCTTCCGAGGGCCACATTGCCACAGGAAGGTAAGAAGCATGGGTCGCGAGACACAGGTTCGTGTCGTGTCGACCCCGGCAATGTTTCCTGACACCGCGGGGGATCGTTCGACCTTGAACGGTCGGCCGTTTCCGAAACGTCGGATCGTTCAGCATCGACCGCTCCTGGGTCGCTGGCGGCGTCGACGGTGAACGCTGGCAGCGGGGTCGCCCCCGGTCGACACGACGCGAACCTGCCGTGCCCCCCTGGATGGGGATCTGTGCTGTTCCCTTCTGGTTTCGGCTACTCGCAGAGAGTGACCCCAGGCAGGAGTGCCCCTTGGTGCGCGGACTGAGGGGGCGCAAGGTGGCCGAATCCGAGCGCGCAGGCAGCCGCTATCGCACCGCGCTCAGCGATCAGAGGGACCCCGATGAGCCCGCACCCAGGGCCACTCCAGCGAAGGGTCACTCCTGCGTGCAGTCGAGGGTTTCGCACGGCCCATCCCCCACTGGGGTGGTGGGATGGCGGGGCTGAGCTACCCTGAGGTCGGGCATGTCCCCCTGCAGGGGGGGGTGGGAGGAAAAACAACAAAAATACCGAAAACGGGCCCCCTCATATCCAAGAAATGATCCAGACATCGACCCCAGACTATTTGCTTGCCTAGTTTTGAACATTTTCCCCCTGGATGAGAGGGACAGGCCCGACAGAAAGCTGCCCTGAGGCCCGGCGGGGCTGGGGGTCGGTGGAACGATACGGCTGCCGGGCGCCCTGGTCCGCGAGGCCGCCCTGCGCCTGCGCGCGCGGGCCCTCCGAGCGCATGATCTGCTGCGGGGGCGCGCCGGGCGCGGCCGCCTCGGCCAGCTCCTCCCCGCAGGGCAGAGGGCCACGCTTGCGAACCCCACCCCCGCCCCCCGCGACCTCTGAGGGGGGAAGGGGGGGGGCTTCGCTTCGCTCGGAAGCTCCCGAGCGAATGGGGAGCCCCACCCTCCCCCCCTCAGAAGCCGTGGGCGGTCGGAGCGGAAGCGGAGGCGGAGGCGGAGGCGGAAGCGGACGCAGCGGTGCGGGGGTCACCCGCGCCCAGGCCCCTTGAGGGCCCGGGCGGGGTGGGTAGGGGTGGGGTTCGCAAGTGTGGCCCCCCGCAGACCCAAACATCTGACGTCTCGATTTTTTCGAGACACGGGCCCCCGACCTCCCGACCACTTCCCCGGGGCCCGTTTCTCATCCCGAGTCGTCTTTCGACGGCCCCGAGGCCCGGCGAGGGCCCCGAGAGGCCGAAAACGACCGAAAACCTTCGTCTCGATTTTTGTCGAGACGCCCGATGTCTGGGGAGGGCAGCCCCCGAGATCTATCCGGGCGCGGCAGCTCTCTCTCTCTCAACCCCACGGGGCGTCGCCTTCGCCGGGCCCCGCGCCCCAGAGGACCGTCACAGATCGACGATGGCCGGCCTCGAGGGATGCCGCAGACACGAGGGGCAACCGCAGGGGGGGAGGGGATACCCAGACATCGGGCGTCTCGAAAAAATCGAGACAAAGGGTTTTCATCGTTTTCGGCCTCTGGAGGCCCTCGCCAGGCCTGGGGACCGTCAAAAAAGGACTCGGGATGAAAAACCGGTCCTGGGGAAGTGGTCGGGAGGTGGGGGCCCGTGTCTCAAAAAAATCGAGACGTCGGATGTCTGGGTAAGCAGAGGGGGGGGATGCCTCGACCTGGATTCGGCGACCCATCGTCGGCAGATCGGCGACATTCGGGCCGGGCGAAAGGGGGGGATAGCAAAGGGGAGGGGGGTGAGAATCAGCTCACCTAGCTGATGTTCCCGGCGCCTCCCGGCGCCGGGAGGCGCCCATGTATATCGAGAAATGGGCCCGGCGGCGGGGCCGAAACCAGCTGCATGCAGCAGATTTCGTACCCCCCCTTTCGTTCGGCCCGAGACATGGGCCCCCGATCCGCACCTCCGCGCCTTCCTGGGCAGGCCGGGGCCATCGGGGCCCTGTCGGCGATCCGTCGGCGATTGGGGGCCGAGGCATCCCCCCCTGCGCCTACCCAGACATGCGACGTTCTGATTTTTTCAAGACGGCGTCCCTGGAAATCCCAACTTTTGCCCCGGGACCGGATTTTCATCCCGAGTCGTTCTTCGACGGTCCCGAGGTCCGGTAAGGGCCCCCAGAGGCCGAACGTGGCCAGAAACCTCCCGTCCTGATTTTTGTCGCGACGCCGTCATGTCTGGGTATCCCCCCCCCCCCCGACCGTTGCCCCCGAGCAGAGGGGTGCGGCCGGGGGCTCCCGCCGTGGCGTCTCGCGACGCGGCAGGCTCGCGGCCGTGGAGAGAGCGGGAGGGAGTAGCGAGCGCATGAGGGGACGCGCCGAGTCGAGATTCGGGACAGAGAGCAGACGATTGGGAAAAGGTGAGGACGCACAATCTCTCACAGAAAGAGTGGGGAACACGTAGGGGCAGGCCCAAACGAATTCCCATGCACACGCCCGACGACGGGCCTGCGCCGCAGAGAGAGGCCAGGATGCTGACCTGGGCACGGGGCCGATCAAATCACCAGACCCCGCGGAAACAACAAGAACAAAACGAGTTGAACCGAATTCATGAGGCTAGCCCAAGCCACTCCACTGCGGGGTCCGAGACCAACATGCGCCGCGGGAGGGGGATGGGGTGTTTGCGGCCCTCGCTGGGGTGCCGCCCCTCCGCAAAGTTATTCCGCCTCCACTTTCTCTGAGGGTTGCCCTCAAAGGCCTTGGGGCCCTCACATTCATTATCAAGCTGGGATCGGTGGGCACGCCCCGAAAAGGATCCGCAGCGCATGCATCCAACCACGTCGCCAGCACGGTAGAGCACATGGCCTCGGGAGGCCTGTGGGGGGACCGTCCCCTCCGCAGGGAGCACCGTGCTGGGAGGAGCGGCGTTGGCCCTCGTAGTGGCCGCCGCGAGCCTGGGGCGCTTCTCCGAGCCTATCGGGGTTTCGAGGGCGACCGTGGCTTCCCTAACACGCGTCTGGACAAGCGGTTCAAACTGCACTCTCGGCTTGACCCTACGGGGTGGTCGGATGAACGCCTCAGCCTCCTCGACCTCAGGCCCCCTAGACTTACCCACAATCCTAACCCGAGGGCTCGGGAGGGTAGGAGGAGGAGGAGGAGGAGGAGGGTCGGAGGACGAAGTAGGGGAGGAGGGAGGATCTCCGCGCTGCGCCTTCCTCCCAGGGCCATCCTCGTCCTGATCGCCTCCACGGCCGTCTTGGCTGCCCAAAGGCCTCTTAGGGGCCTGGCGGGGGCCGAGGGGGGGGGGGCTCCGCGGGATCTCCTCGGGGCTGGACTGGGGCTCGGGGGCCTGAGGTTCCGAGGGGCGGTGCACTGTACACACCTCGAGGGCCAGGCGCTTACGTCCAGTTGGCGTCCGCGCGAAGCGCTGACAATGTTTACATCTCCATCCTCCAGCCAGCGTGGGCCTGATGTCATGCAGGCGCTGGCTAGTAGTCAGAACTGGCCGCTGTTGTCCAGGCCGACGGCGTCGCTGAAGTCGCCTGCGTGGCTTGCGCACAGGCGGTGGCTGACGGTCCTGGTTCCCAACCAACGTCATCGAGGACCCAATCCAGCAAGCCACCTGCCTGACAGTGTTGATCATGATCGAGTGGAGCTGAATGGCTTCCGACGGCAACGCGTGCATAGCCAGCCCCCTCTTTGCCGCCACATCTGCATAGTCATTGCCCTTCTTGTCAACGGTAGCATCTCCTTGAGTCTGGTGTGATCGCACGTATGAGATCTCCAGCTGCGAGGACAAACCTCCGTGATCTTGGATGACCTGCCATAGTATTCTCCACAAATCGCAGTTCGGCCTGCGTGGGTGCGTGCACCACTCAGGCCCACATGCGAGGCCTTCCACGGTGCCCAGGCAGTCCGTACGTATGTGTAACGGCAGCATCCCATGGCGTAGCACTTGTAAGACAGCGTATAGTTCAGCACGAGGCACTGATTGCTGTTGTCCTGGGAGAGGTCCATACGCAATCCCACGAAGAGCCTGACCTGTCATCATCGCGATTCCCCAGCCAGCTCTGTTGGCTTCGGGCCAGGCAATGGGGGAGAGCCCAGATCCATCCGTGTAGATATCTCCCGTCAGCATGGTCATGTCCCCTCCGTGGGCGAACTTCCAGGCATCTTCCATGGCTGGTGGCGGTATACCAGGCAGGGCGCCCCTCGGCATCAGGCCTCTGGTGAACAAGAGGTCGTTGTGAGGTGAGGCCCTGGCCGCCTGGATGACGTCAGCGTCCACTGCGGCCTCTCGCTCCTGCTGGAGCAAAGGGCAGGACCATAGACGATGATGTACTGTTCCAGGGCAGTCCATGCAATACTGACACACATTATCCGTGGCATATCCATGTTTGTGTAGTCGGGCCTGGGACCACTGGCCGCCTATGATTGAGTTGCGTAGTGCTGCTCGAGCTTGCTCCGATAAGTGCCATTTCGTGGCTAGCCCCTTCGGCGCGAGCAGCATCTTGAGGGGGCCCATCCAGTATCCACAGGGTCTCCTGAGTGGTGGTTCGCCATCTGGCGCATGATCGCGCTGGCGACTCCAATCTTCAAACTTCACGTTGACAAAGTCCCGCCTTGCAAGGACCCTGAGCCATTCAGGGCTGTCAGTAGTGAGGTCCAAGGATGTACCTGCGCATGTAGTCCATGCCGTCGCCGTCGTCGCACGCCAGTTGAGAGTATGAAGTGCCACCAGTACTGCTCCAGCAGGGCCAGCCACGTCAGCGTGCTTCGGGGTAGATCCTAGGATCTGGCGCTGCTGCAGGAAAGCCTTCTCCAGCACGTATTTGGGCACCTTGATATCTTGGACGAGCATGGCCCACGTGTATAGGGGGCCCACGATCGCCATCATCCCAGGGTGTTCAAAGAAACGCGGCTCTAGCTGAGCCGCCAGCCAGACTGATGTGCCTGGAGGTGTACGCCGCCAGCCCACTCGAACCATGCTGACCATTGACTTGATCAGCGTCTTGGTGGCGCCGACGATCTGGATGCCGTACTGCATGGCGGGGGCAATACATGGCTGGGCCACCGCTCGTCCGATTTTGGCCAGACCACTGAGCCTCTTGAAACGCGGGAGCCTCATCTTCATCTTGCGCACCCTCTTGCGAATCGTTTCGAAGCTCAGTCTGTGTCCGCCTTTGGCCTCCATGCCGAGGACATCCAGAGTCCTGTAAGGCCGAAAACCGTGCCGATGAACCTGCTGCGCCACCTGCTGTGCGATGTCAAAATCTGAGGCCAGCACTTTCGCCTTGTCCTGCGCAATAGGCAGATCAAGAGCCTTGAGAACTGCTGTGAGCCTCTTCAGAATGCGCACCGTCTGGTGTACAATATCCTGCCTCGAGGCCACCACCTGGATCGTGATGTCATCGGCGTAGATATCCAGCGAATGGTGTACCTCGTCGGTGTTGGCAAAGGATTTCTCGAATACGTCGAAAGGCAGCATCATGACCAACTGCAGTAAGAACATGGCCATCGAGCATCCTGGGAGCACTCCCCTACTGACTTGGCACGAGTAGGAGAAAGAAGTGGTCCACTTGATTCGCCTCGGGGCGTAGCACATTGCCAGACAAAGCTGCAGGATCTGTGTTGGAAATCCGTAGTGTTCTGCAGCCTGCAGCACACGTCGCCAACAAACTCGGTCGAAGCACTTGCTGATATCCACAAGCGTCGTGGTCGTGGCCCTTTGCTTATCGCGGGCATAGGCCTCAGCGTAAATCATGGTGCGTGCTCCCACATCGAGTGTACATTTGTGGGTGCCCAATGCAAAATAAGGTCTGGTGTTCTGCGATATCCAACTCCGAACTTGAGCCAGTCTGAGCTTCGTGTAGATGCGATACGTC